AAATGACCGCAGCAACAACATCAACTGAGGCAGGGCAGACCGATGCGAAGAGTAGAATGAGGCACACACAGGCACAATACAGTAAGGAGCGACATCCGGCGAACGGCGTGGGAGGAGCAGGCGGAGTGCAACAATGAAGCCTTCAACAAGGGAATGACAACTGCGGACACCAACTTCGTTGGGAGAGGCACCCAAGATGGACTTTCGTCCCCCGACTTGCCCCAGCAACCCCAGACGATGAGCAGAAAAATGACGACGCCTCCAAGAAGGTGATGACACTAGCGCGCCACTGTTATCGGGCCAAGGCAAGAAGCCTGGCAGGATTTTCATCCGAAGACTGTTCGCTGGCCACGGTAGGCCAGATCCGATGGACGCCCGCCGCAGGCGCCAGACCCCCATAGCGCAGCCTAGCCACCGCAGTCGTGGACGCCAGCATGACCAAGGCAGGCACGGGGAGGTAGCCGCAGCCTTGGCCGACCGCCGCAGGCGAGCCGCTAGGCTACCGAGGACACCGAACGCCAGGCCAGCCGCAGCGTCCCGATCGCCCACCACGGATCCGTGTCAGGATAGGTCAGATCCGGCCCCGGGGGCCCTAGATCTGCCCCGCCGGCCACTGAAACCGCCGGATCTGCCGGGGAAGGTAACGGTGGAGGAGGGGGAGGGAGCGCAGTCGAGGTGGCCCTGCTACGCCCCAGCCAGCCGCCGGCGACCCCCAGCACAGGCCCGAAGAAGACTATCGGCTGGGCCGACCAAGAGCAAGCGCCATGCGTGCGTACCCAGTCCCGCCCCCGCCGACGACGATGAGGGACTCGTGGATGGCCTAGGCGCCACCAGACGACAGATCCAGCCCCTAGAGGTGCGGATCTAGCCGGCTGCCGCCGTTCGCCGCCACAGGTGAAGGGGTTGAAAGGGGTGGTGGAGGAGCAAGAGAGAGGGAATGGGCGGAAACCGTGGACGAACGCCCTTTTTTGGGGACCGCCGCCGCACGCCGGACGGCGGCGACGGCAGGCCGGAGGGAGGCCAGGAGAGGGGGAGGGAGGGGGGGGGCGAGCTCAAGTGGCCAGCGTGGTCGCCTGAGTCGCTTGTTGGGGGTGCGCTGGGGGAATGGAAAGGCATGATTTTCCCTCCTTGCATTTGTATGTTGTGTATATGCATCTACATGTGTTTCAGAGCCTAACTGCAGGCAGGACTGAATGATACTACTCCTGTGTGCTATGCTAGCTGCAACTTTTCAGCAGGCCCGGCATGGAAATGGAGATGGAACGCAATGATGAGAGTGTGGCAGCCTTTGGACGCGGTGGAAACCCATCGAGCATGGACGCCGGCGTGGGCGTGGCTAAAATAAAGCAGGGGAGGAGGAGGAGAGGCCGGAGTGGTGGTAGGGCAGCCTGGGGGAGCACCGGAGCATGCAGGATGGACGCGTGCAGGCGTCCGATCGATGGTTGCTGCATGAGACACGCGCGGGATTGGGCCGGACGGCTGTGTGCCGGCGGCAGCCCCGGCAGCGGACCAGCGCTGGTGCCTGCTTAGCTTTTCCGTACGTCGCCAGGCAATCGATGCCGCCCGCCCACCGGCCGCCGCTTTATTAGTTTGCTAGCTCGGAAATTTAGGCGCCCAGCGCGACCGAAAGAGGAGCTTCTTTTTACTTAGGCCACGTTTAGTTCATCCAGAATGCTTTGACACTATGCAAAAAGAAGATTTCCCGTCACATCAAATTTGTGGTACATGTATGGAGTATTAAATGTTGACGAAATCAAAAACTAATTGCACAGTTTGGTTGTACTTTGCGAGATGAACATTTTAAGCCTAATTAGTCAATGATTAAACAATTATTATCAAATACAAACGAAATGCTACAGTGCGCTACAGTGCCCGCAAATTTCAGGCGGCGCCAACTTTGGCAGCAACTAAACGCGGCCTAATATGCATCGTACCCCTGCTAGCACTTGGCTGCCGCCTGCCGGTGATCGGTGATGACTGGAAAGAACACCCTCTTTGTTTTTTTTTCCGACCTTTCCTTATCTTCCTTCGGGCGGGGAGGCCAATTGTTATTAATCAGTTGAATGAAGTTACAGCTTCGATAAAATTTTGTTCATTTTGAATGTTCTTACAAAAGTCGTGTTTGTAATGCTGCCGCACATGCTTTGGCGGATCTGGAGTATGCGTGTTCTGAAGGGGAAGAGAGAGTTAGCATCTCTATCCCTTCGGCTGTCAATGTAATTGTGATCGCTGATTCTTCAGCAATCAAGTAATGAAAGTCCCAGAATTCAAAAAAAAAAGTTACCGCTTCTAGAAACACTTTTATTTATCTACCAAATACCAATCATCTATATATGCTTTTTCCAACACTGTTTAAAGTCTTCCTCTCTTTGTATAACACTTATGGTAGTGCACGTCTCACATGTGTTTAAAGTTTTCTGTTGGCCTCTTCGTCCATCTCAGAACAGAATATAAGATGGGCAGAGCAGCTCGTCCCTCCAGCGCTTCAATAACCCAGACAATCGTCCCCTCCAGTGCTCTCGCGAATCGTGGCCGTCTGCGTAGTCCAAATGCCGTTTTTTTACTCGGCTCGCACTTTTTTTTTTCTCTCGTCGCTCATGCTGCTGGACTGGCCGCAGCAGGCTTACTTGCTGCGATGGGCTTACGGGGTCGCCAAACCCACAAGCTCCTCTTGGGTTGTTTGCTCCCTACCACTTGATCAGAAATGAAGGACATCGGGGGCAAGTACATCCGAGGACGTAGTCGTTCCTGAGTTAGAGGAGCTGGTTCCGTGTGGGTTGGGGGAGGGAGTGAGTGTTAAGGGGGCTTGTGCCCCCTCCTTATCAATAGTAGCTTGTGGTTGCTTTTCACTTGCTTTGAAGGAGCTATTTAATTGGAGCCTGTTCGGCAGGACTGAAAAATAAGTTAAAATACTGTTCCAGCTGATTGTTGTGAGAAGAAAATACTGTTCTGACTGAAATCACTGTTTACGTGAACAGTGATTCGTGAGGGGGCTGCCCAGCCAGCCAGCCACCGGGCAGCCAGCCGAACAGCCCCTTGGTTTTGAATTTGTATACATTTAACTATTGTGAAATCAAAGTTAAAAGGCAATGTGAAACTATGACGACCTTAATGTGAAACAATGACTTTGAATGGTGGCCAAATTAATAAGAATAAAAGTGTAGAAATGAAACAGTAAAATTGAAGTAGTCATGTTCTACTTCTTCCCTCTATAAAAGGAAATGTATGGAGTTGAAAGGGGCATCTTCATGTATAGATGTTCATGTACAGAAATCATCCACAAACAATATAGTTGTGTTCCATCTCCCAACGAACTACTGTCCTCTATGTTCTTGTGGTTGTGTACCGTTAACATGAAAACTCGATTTCTAATTTTAACCATATATTTTTATTTTAGAAAAAAATATTATAGGAAAAATCACTTTTCGAACCAGTCAAGCGCTAAAGTTGTGTGGTTTTAACAGTTAGATTGCCAACGATATCTGATTTTGGAGTTTGATGGCCAAAACCATACTCGAATAATAGTTCGATGACCAAAAATAAACTTGTTTCTTGCTTTTTATACACATCGTGAAAAACATACCATAACATCAATGAGAAATGGATTCTTAATAGCTAAGCTTATTATTCCCTTCACCCATTAGACACATGCATAGCTTTGGTGAACGGCATTAGCCACATTAAAAACTATGTGATCAGCACACACTTCGGCCCAAAAAGCTCAATCAACATTGGATTGAAAGATGAAGGAAAAAGTCCACATTACCTCTCTCAACTTTCGCAAAAGTCCATATTTTCTCCCTAAACTCTAAAACTGGGTAAAACACCTCTCTCAACTTTTAAAATCGTTCATCTTACCTCCCTAGCCCTGTTATAAGCAGTTTTGAAGGCGGTTTTGTCTTTTGTCTTTTTTATTTATTTCGGCTAACTCTTTGAAAAATCATAGTAAATCACAGAAAAATCATAAAATATAAAATTCAATTTTGTTGGACTCCACATGAGTAGATCTACACAGTGAACATATAATATGATATGCTTTAGTACAAAGTTTTTGCTGTGGCTTTAGATCTATACTTTTATATAATTAATTAGAATAATTCATAGCTGCAGTTTCTATGGTCCAATTATGATGGAATTTTTATGGTGGGCTAATTATTATATGATTGAACTGTAGTAAAAATTTCATACTCATTGGATCATGTATAGATTAGTTATAGATTTATTTATATTTAACAAGCATAAACCTAAATAAAATCTATAACTAAGTTATACATGATTTAATGAGTATGAAATTTTTACTACAGTTTAAGCATACAATAATTAGCCCACCATAAAAATTTCACCTCAATTGGACCATAGAAATCAGTAGCTATGAATTATTCCATTTAATTACATAAAAGCATAGATCTAAAGCCATAACAAAAACTTTGTACTAAAGCATACCATATTATATGTTCATTGTATAGATCTACTTACGTGAGTCAAAAAATTAGATTTTCCATTTTATGATTTTTCCGTGATTTACTATGATTTTTCAAAGATTCAAATTAAATAAATAAAAAAAAAAAGACAAAACCGCTTTCAAAAAACTGCTTATAACAGGGCCCGGAGATAAGATGAACGGTTTTAAAAATGAGGAGATGTTTTGCCGGTTTTGGAGTTTAAGGAGTAAAATGGATTTTCACGAAAGTTGAAGAGGTAACGTGAACTTTGGAAAGATGTACATGTTACCCTCAACATCAGAAGTCTCTAAGCCCAAAATTAGTAACTCCAGCCCATTTAAGATAAAGGTCCACCCTGAATTTTCGGCCCAACAAGCCCACTTCACACATCGCTAATCCAACGGGTGCAGATAGTCCATTTCGGTTTTTTTATCCAGGAAATAGAAACCGAGTTGATCCGGTTTGATTGGCGACGCAGCAACCACTTGTCATCACTCATCATTCCAGTCCACTCCAATCATCCGCTCCAGGAGCCGGCGGCCGGCGGCGACGAGGGAGATGGCGGCTGCGTCGGCGGCGGAGGTGAGGTACGGGATAGTCGGGGTGGGGATGATGGGGCGGGAGCACCTCCACAACCTCGCCCACCTCGCCGCCGAGGTCGAGCGGGAGCAGTCCGTCCGGGTCCCGGTCACCGGCCTCGCCGACCCCCACCAGGAGTCGCTCCGCCTCGGCCTCCAGCTCGCCGCCGAGCTCGGCCTCCCAGCTCCCCAGGTACTTATATCCCAACCCACCCTCGTAATTATCTGCTAGATTCTGAGTTCTCAAATGTGTTGTCTCCTCTTATAAACTGTGCACAAAAAAAAAAAACAGATTTTGAATAGAATAAATGAATAAATTATGATTAGACTGTGCAAAGCAGAACTATGTGTGTTCTTAGTCGGGTACTAATTACTGAATCGGTAAATCTTAGTAACATCCAAAAGGTTTCAAGACCTTTTCAGGTCACCGCGAGCTGCTGGACAGCGGGCTCTGTGACGCCATCATCGTATCGTCCCCAAACATGACCCACTACGAGATACTCATGGACATCATCGGCCACCGCGAACCGCACCACATTCTTGTCGAGAAGCCGCTGTGCACCACTGTGCAGGACTGCAAGAAGGTAGGTTAGTCCGGTACTTTGATCTGTTGGTTATGTGATTTCGTCATGACCTGCTACTGCTAGCTAGCGCATTCTACTCTGTTTCTTTTGTTGATATCACCTCACTGTTGTCTACCTTCATCCTCATGGACAGATCATCAAACCATACTCTCTAATAGCACAATATGATTCTACCCCGCCAAAATCATAAATCAGTATCATTGTTCTCCTGACCAGGGAACATGGGATTCATGTTGTTGAAGACAACTGTTTTCATTGAGTTTTAGCTTCACTCTGCATGCCACAGACATTCTGTTTTTGTGTATTAGTATCTATGTTGCTATTGCGTTCAAAAAAATAGTGTTGAAGAAAACCGTTTTCATTGTTTCAGCTTCACTCTACATGCCACAGACATTCAGTTTTTGTGTATTAGTATCTATGTTACTATGCCACAGACATTCAGCTTTACATGGGTGTTTTTCTGTTAAAAAATATGCCCAGCTCTTGCCGGTATCTTTTCGGAAAAAAATTACCCATGTTACCAACTAGATATCGTGACCTGCCCTCTGTTTCATTTTGAAATTCACATTCTTTGAATCTCTGTTGACTTTTATGTTTCCATACAGGTCATTGAAGCGGCTAAACAGAGACCAGACATACTCGTGCAAGTTGGATTAGAATACAGGTATATGCCACCAGTTGCTAAGCTGATAGACATCGTTAAGAGCGGTACACTAGGACAAGTCAGAATGGTGGCAATACGCGAACACCGTTTTCCTTTCCTTGTCAAGGTACTGGTACCTGTGTTTAATTGTAATACATACAAGTTCACTTCTTATTGTTTTTAAGTGCTACAACGTGCAGGTGAATAACTGGAATAGATTCAATTGTAACAGTGGGGGAACTCTAGTAGAGAAGTGCTGCCACTTCTTTGATTTGATGAGACTGTTTGCAGCTGCAAATCCAGTTCGTGTGATGGCCTCAGGAGCCATCGATGTTAACCATAAGGATGAAGTTTATGATGGAAAGGTCTGTTTGTCTCACTTCTTGATTAAAATATTTCATTGGATGCATATTCTGTGCATGCATAGCTCTGTGCTCATGCCCATGCAGCCATGCCATTTTCAATAAACATGTTCTGTTTCATCTTTCTCTTCCTACTGAAAGACTTGTGATCAATGTAACAGTGAAAGCCTGAGTGCTTATATTTAGACTCACTGCTCTAGCATTTGTGCAATGTTGCAGTTGGAACTCCAACTCCTAATCCATAACAGTAAATAAACCACAAGCTGAAGGCAGCCTTTAAACATTCCTAGTAGTGGCTAAAAGTTGATTATCTCCTAATGCAGGTACCAGATATTATTGATAATGCATATGTGATAGTAGAATTTGATAATGGCTCTCGTGGCATGCTTGATCTCTGCATGTTTGCTGAAGGAAGTAGAAACGAGCAAGAAATTTGTGTGGTTGGTGACATTGGGAAGGTACAATATAGCTATACGTTTCTTACAATTTTTATTTTTCCAAGTGGTGCCATACTAAACTGTAACCTTTTGCAGATGTGATTCTAGGTAATTTAGTTATACTTAATTGGCTCAGTTTACAGTTTGGTATCCCAAAATTCTTGTCTGATTACTCTGTTTTACTAGTAGTGTGTAGGTACAGTATACAAGTATGTTATCCTTAGAAGAAAGGCCTGAAACTTGAGGGAAAAAATATCACCAATTATAGAAGTACATGTTCCCTTGACTGTGATTCAAGTTGGTTAAACTACACTGGGCTCTAGAATTAGCTTCTGGCACATACCTATGTAAAATTAGGAAGTACAGTTAACTGTGACTTATTCCGTAGTGTGTGGATATGCCTAATACATAACGGAACCATGAACTATTTAGGCTCAAACTAACCATACAAATTATGAACTCGCCAATCCAACAAATGGCTGTGCTTGTTTGTACTAAATATAATCATTAATGCTGGAATAATCACCTTCTTGTACTACCAAGAGGTCTAGGAAAATGTACCAATTTCCTCTTGTTTTGGCACCTTTTTGGGCAAATAATTAAGGTAGCCTCTAGAGTCTAGCTGAGACATTATGAATGCTACCTGCTATGTATTCCAAAGTCTGATCTTGGATGGGGAATCATTGATGAGTAAGCTAGTTCACAAAAAGCTTGGTGATAAAATGCATGAGCATGCACTCTGTTGCATGAAAACAAAGTTCAGGATGAAGATCAAAACTGGTGGTTCTGATTAGCTAGATATCTGGTCGAATCAATAAGGCAAGGGAAGCATCTGGACTGGATTGTTATAGGAGTCCCTGAAAATCTGCAACAATATTATCTCTACAAGAGGCCTAAGGGATATAGTGGTTTTATAATATTCTTGATCAGTTAATTTTCCTGCTTTGAGGGAGAGGGAGGGCTAAATGTCTATTTAAAGTCTGAACTGTGAGTCCCTATCGTGTCACTGTTCATAGTCGACCACAGGTAGCTCAGGTTCCTCTCATCTCTGAGTGATTTTTCAGATGGAAGAAATTGATTTATTCTTGTTGAATCTTGTTTCCTAACAAGGATCTTGAATCTCTGCTATCCTGTCTTTGTTTAAAATTCAGTTCTAGTGAACATGATACATTTTTTTATTGAAACAGGGTGAAACTTTTGTTCCAGAGAGCATTGTCAGGTTTGGAAAGAGAGCAGGAGGCAGAGATGGAGTTGTAACAGTAATGGCGGAAGATGAACGGATCAAGTATGCTCTATTTTTTCTGTCCCATATTAGCATTTATTTTTCATAAGTCCTACAATTTAAAGAATATTTGTACATTCAAATGACAGTCTCAAAAGTAATAATTTTGTTGTTGGCCTTGCCCCTGTACCACCTTTATTTACAGCGCTTGCATATTCGGTGCTTCTTGCACTAGCGTAGTCTGATTCTATATGACCAGATAATCAATGCACACTGAACCAAAAAAAATAAGAAATTTCTATTTAATTTTGCCTTAGGATTAAAGTTAAGATGCACAATGCATAGTTTTGCATACTGCAAGTTTTGGCTTGTATCTTAACCAAGTGTGTGTATCATAGGTATCAAGGTCTTCATCATGGATCCAGCTATTTGGAACACCTCAATTTCTTGTCTGCTATAAGGGCTCAAGGTGCATCTGGACCATCTGTCAACTTAAGTGACGGTCTACTATCTGTTGCCATCGGTGTGGCTGGGCAATTATCCATCGAGAAGGGCCGGTTTGTAACCATGGAAGAGGTCTTAGGTTTGTAGCCTGGTGATAATTCAGGCATGCTAATGTATTGTAAAACCTTTTGTGTATTATTAGGTACATGGACTTAAGAGTGCTCAAGACTGACGAGCTTATGCAAAGTTAGGATAACATTAATACAGGCATTTGAAACAGAGGAATATGACGATAATCTTCAAGCAAATGTCATGGAGTAGCAGGGTTATATTATCTGCAAGTGATATCTTGGACCTGTTGGTTGTGATTAACGGATCAATAAATCTAGAATATGTCATATTATTTCTCTTGATTTCTCTCTCTGAGTTTAAGAGAAGGTTAATGACATATCAACAATATTATTATCTCATATTTTCCTATAAGGTTTTTAGAGCATTGAAGTTATTGATTGATTTGAAGACAGGACGAATCAAGGCGGAGTGTTGAGAAACAAGTCGACCAGTCAGTGATCTTATCCCCATGGATTCACCCTGCGAATTCAACCCATGGATTAGTGACTAAGATTAGCAGTAGCCGTCTATGTAATCGTATGCTTACTATTCTCATGTAAAACACTGACATCCCCTGGATGTGTGTCGGCCATCCCCAAGGTGTCGGTTCGCTGCTTACTCCTCTGTCCTTAAAAGAATAGATTTATAGCAAGTTTGGAACAGACTAGAAAATAGGATAAATGACTTTGTTGCCTCTCATTAAGCTTCTAATTAACTTTAAGTGCACTCACCTCTTGCCGAGAAGCTACACATACGCCGCATGGTGTTTCTAATAATATATTAAATGTTATTGCACCAACTACATCAATACTTACATGTTCGCTTTGCTGAAAGGACAAGCTGAAAAGTAAAGAAAAACAATGTTCCTTCACTGGAAAAATACGACTTATGAGACAAATAAATACACCCGATGGACGTTCATGACGAATAAATAGGTGCGTGACCGCTGGAGACTCTGAGGAAATAAATACATCCGATGGATGGTGAGGGACTAAAAGTTGATTTTTTCAAAGATAAATTTTATCATAGAAATCTATTTTTTCAATGGCAGAGGGAGTACAAAACCTGAGCGATGGAAGCAAGACAGTTCAATTATTTCTCTCTCTCATTCTCGTTCTTACAACTTCAAACAACAACGACAGCCGACACGCCAGCTGTACCAACGAAGAAACAACAATGATAGCCGAGGGATAATTGAGCCCAACACCTATAGGCAAGTTGGACATTAGTAATGAAACAACAATGACAGCCGAGAGATAAAGGAGCCCAAATGCAGCGGCTGTGGGCAAGTTGGGACTGGTCCCTGTGTCGACACAGACTCGTTGACGTTCTTCATTCTTCATCACTGCTCCAACGAGTGTTTGCCACGTTACGGGAGTACCTTCGTGGACGGGAGACACCCTGACCCCGCCTCGCTACAAGGCAAGAAGAAACCACCATAAGTGAACTCCAACAAAGAAGACCGGTGGAAAAGAAGAAGAAAAAGTTTTTCATTTTTATATCCCTATATACGTATTCTCTCTGTTTCAATTTGTAAGTTGTTCTAGCTTTTATTAGATACATAACTTTTACTATATATTTATACATAATGTATATCTAGTTGTGTAGCAAAATCTACGTATCTAGAAAAGACAGAATAACTTACAATTTAGAACTAATGTAATACTATTTGTCTATTGGAATTCGGATGTATTATTGGATACAGATCTTGAAAAATTGAACGTTGGAATCCACTTTTCCAAGCTTTATATGGCTATATTCTCAGTGCATTATGTGTCACTGTTTCAAATGTTATTATGAAACTTACGATACAACTCACCCAAGAAATAGTATCATGATATTATTTCTTACGAGCATCTAAACAATTAATTATCATATATCTTTTATCTATGAAAATGGATCCAAGGGTTGTGCGCGGGCTTCTAATGTCGACGAGGATACAACTTTTATCTCTATCTTCATTAAATCCATGCTAAGTCAGCAAGAAAAAAGAATCTAGGTGGCATCTAGTTAATTAGTATGTACTCACTCCATTAAGAAAAGGATGTAATTCTTGTTTTTCAAGGGCTTTTAAATTTGACCAAAGTTATACGAAAAATACTAACATTTATGATACAAATTAAGTACTATTAAATTAGTTATGGAATATATTTTCTTAATAAACTAATTTGGAGACATAAATGTGAATACTATTACTAACTGTAAACTTGATCAAACTAACTACTATCCATTGGCACAGGCATACGTAATCTTGACGCAAGATAGGTGCACGGTTTGCGCCGAACATACCAAAGGCTCAGAAATCGTTTTGAATGCAACCGATGGAACTCCTAGGTGACGTGGGTCATGTGGAATCTCATTTCGGTCCGTTTGAGGACGGTGTTGGTTTCAATGGTACTCCAAGGTGACGAGGCTCAAGTGCAAGCTCGATTCGGTCTATTTGAAGATAGTTGGAATCTTAACTGAAGATAGGTGCATGGTTTGCGCCGAACGTACCATAGGCTCGGAAGTCATTTTGGACGTACCCGATGGAACACCTAGGAGACATAGGTCATGTGAATCTCGTTTCAGTCTATTTGGAGACAGTGTTACTGTCGGTGCAAGATAGGTGCACGGTTTACGCCAAACGTAACATAGGCTCAGAAAATCATTTTGGACGCACCTGATGGTACTCTAAGGTGACGAGGCTCAAGTGGAAACTCGATTCGGTCTATTTGAAGATAGTGCGAATCATGACGCAAAATAATTTTGCATACTGCAAGTTTTGGCTTGTACCTTAACGAAGTGTGTGTATCATAGGTATCAAGGTCTTCATCATGGATCCAGCTGTTTGGAACACCTCAATTTCTTGTTTGCTATAAGGGCTCAAGGTGCATCTGGACCATCTGTCAACTTAAGTGACGGTCTACTATCTGTTGCCATCGGTGTGGCTGGGCAATTATCCATCGAGAAGGGCCGGTTTGTAACCATGGAAGAGGTCTTAGGTTTGTAGCCTGGTGATAATTCAGGCATGCTAATGTATTGTAAAACCTTTTGTGTATTATTAGGTACATGGACTTAAGAGTGCTCAAGACTGACGAGTTTATGCAAAGTTAGGATAACATTAATACAGGCATTTGAAACAGAGGAATATGATGATAATCTTCAAGCAAATGTCATGGAGTAGCAGGGTTATATTATCTGCAGGTGATATCTTGGACCTGTTGGTTGTGATTAACGGATCAATAAATCTAGAATATGTCATATTATTTCTCTTGATTTCTCTCTCTGAGTTTTAGAGAAGTTTAATGACATATCAACAATATTATTATCTCATATTTTCCTATAAGGTTTTTAGAGCATTGAAGTTATTAATTGATTTCAAGACAGGACGAATCAAGGCGGAGTGTTAGAAACAAGTCGACCGGTCAGTGATCTTATCCCAAATGATTCACCCTGCGAATTCAACCCATGGATTAGTGACTAAGATTAGCAGTAGGTGTCTATGTAATCGTATGCTTACTATTCTCTCATGTAAAACACTGACATCCCCTGGACATGTGTCGGCCATCCCCTAGGTGACGGTTCGATACTTACTCCCTCTCTGTCCTTAAAAGAATAGATTTATAGCAAGTTTGGGACAGACTAGAAAATAGGATAAATGACTTTGTTGCCTCTCATTAAGCTTCTAATTAACTTTAACTGCACTCACCACTTGCCGAGAAGCTACACATACCCCGTATGGTGTTTCTAATAATATATTAAATGTTATTGCACCAACTTCATCAATACTTACATGTTCGTTTTGCTGAAAAGACAAACTGAAAAGTATTGTTCGTTGATTTGTTGTGAGAGAAAAACAATGTTCCTTCACTGAAAAAATACGGCTCATGAGACAAATAAATACATCCGATGGACGTTCATGACGAATAAATAGGCGCATGACCGCTGGAGACTCTGAGGAAATAAATACATCCGATGGATGGTGAGGGACTAAAAGTTGATTTTTTCAAAGATAAATTTTATCATAGAAATCTATTTTTTCAATGGCAGAGGGAGTACAAAACCTGAGCGATGGAAGCAAGACAGTTCAATTATTTCTCTCTCTCATTCTCGTTCTTACAACTTCAAACAACAACGACAGCCGACACGCCAGCTGTACCAACGAAGAAACAACAATGATAGCCGAGGGATAATTGAGCCCAACACCTATAGGCAAGTTGGACATTAGTAATGAAACAACAATGACAGCCGAGAGATAAAGGAGCCCAAATGCAGCGGCTGTGGGCAAGTTGGGACTGGTCCCTGTGTCGACACAGACTCGTTGACGTTCTTCATTCTTCATCACTGCTCCAAGGAGTGTTTGCCACGTTACGGGAGTACCTTCGTGGACGGGAGACACCCTGACCCCGCCTTGCTACAAGGCAAGAATCAACCACCATAGGTGAACTCCAACAAAGAAGACCGGTGGAAAAGAAGAAGAAAAAGTTTTTCATTTTTATATCCCTATATACGTATTCTCTCTGTTTCAATTTGTAAGTTGTTCTAGCTTTTATTAGATACATAACTTTTACTATATATTTATACAGAATGTATATCTAGTTGTGTAGCAAAATCTACATATCTAGAAAAGACAGAATGATTTACAATTTAGAACTAAGAGAATACTATTTGTTTCCGTCAGGATCCGGTTTGCTATTCGGAGTGTTGAGAAACAAGTCGACCGGTCAGTGATCTTATCCCCATGGATTCACCCTACGAATTCAACCCATGGATTAGTGACTAAGATTAGCTGTAGCCGTCTATGTAATCGTATGCTTACTATTCTCTCATGTAAAACACTGACATCCCTTGGACGTGTGTTGGCCATCCCCTAGGTGACAGTTCGCTACTTACTCCCTCTATCCTTAAAAGAACAGATTTATAGCAAGTTTGGGACAGACTAGAAAATTGGATAAATGACTTTGTTGCCTCTCATTAAGCTTCTAATTAACTTTAACTGCACTCACCACTTGCCGAGAAGCTACACATACCCCGTATGGTGTTTCTAATAATATATTAAATGTTATCGCACCAACTACATCAATACTTATATGTTCGCTTCGCTGAAAAGACCAAGCTGAAAAGTACTGTTCGCTGATTTATTGTGAAAAAAAAATAATGTTCCTTCACTGAAAAAAATACGGCTCATGAGACAAATAAATACATCCGATGGACGTTCATGACGAATAAATAGGTGCGTGACGGCTGGAGACTCTGAGGAAATAAATACATCCGATGGATGGTGAGGGACTAAAAGTTGATTTTTTCAAAGATAAATTTTATCATAGAAATATATTTTTTCAAGGGCAGAGTACAAAACCTGAGCGATGGAAGCAAGACAGTTCAATTATTTCTTTCTCTCATTCTCGTTCTTACAACTTCAAACAACAACGACAGCCGACACGCCAGCTGTACCAACGAAGAAACAACAATGATAGCCGAGGGATAATTGAGCCCAACACCTATAGGCAAGTTGGACATTAGTAATGAAACAACAATGACAGCCGAGAGATAAAGGAGCCCAAATGCAGCGGCTGTGGGCAAGTTGGGACTGGTCCCTGTGTCGACACAGACTCGTTGACGTTCTTCATTCTTCATCACTGCTCCAAGGAGTGTTTGCCACGTTACGGGAGTACCTTCGTGGACGGGAGACACCCTGACCCCGCCTCGCTACAAGGCAAGAAGAAACCACCATAAGTGAACTCCAACAAAGAAGACCGGTGGAAAAGAAGAAGAAAAGTTTTTCATTTTAATATCCCTATATATACACGTATTCTCTCTCTGTTTCAATTTGTAAGTTGTTCTTGCTTTTCTTAGATACATAACTTTTATTATATATTTATACAGAATGTATATCTAGTTGTGTAGCAAAATCTACATATCTAGAAAAGACAGAATGACTTACAATTTAGAACTAAGGGAATACTATTTGTTTCCGTCAGGATCCGGTTTGCTATTGGAATTCGGATGTATTATTGGATACAGATCTTGAAAAATTGAAGGTTGGAATCCACTTTTCCAAGCTTTTATAAGGCTTATGTGTCACTGTTTCAAATGTTATTATGAAACTTACGATACAACTCACCCAATAAATAGTATCATGATATTATTTCTTACGAGCATCTAAACAATTAATTATCGTATATCTTTTATCTATGAAAATGGATCCAAGGGTTGTGTGCAGGCTTCTAATGTCGACGAGGATACAACTTTTATCTCTATCTTCATTAAATCCATGCTAAGTCAGCAAAAAAAAAAAAATTCTAGGTGGCATCTAGTTAATTAGTATGTACTCACTCCGTTTAGAAAAGTATGTAATTCTTGTTTTTCAAGGGCTTTTAAATTGGACCAAAGTTATACGAAAAATACTAACATTTATGATACAAATTAAGTACTATTAGATTAGTTATGGAATATATTTTCTTAATAAATTAATTTAGAGACATAAATGTGAATATTATTACTAACTGTAAACTTGATCAAACTAAGGGGGTGTTTGGTTCTTTAGTCGCTTCTAAAATTCATGTCACATCGAATGTTTAGATACTAATAAAAAACATTAAATATAGATTAATTACAAAACCAATTACATTGATGGAGGCTAATTTGCGAGACCATTTTTAAACCTAATTAGTCTGTCATTAGCACATGTTACTGTAGCACTACGTTGTCAAATTATGGACTAATTAGGCTTAAAAGATTCATCTCGCAAATTAGTCGCAAGTTGTGTAATTAGTTTCGTAATTAGTCTATATTTAATACTCCATACATGTGTCTAAACATTCGATGTGACAGGAATTTTAGGAGCCCCTTAGCAACCAAACAGGGCCTAACTACTATCCATTGGCACAGGTATACCTTTCTGGCCTCACTTTCCTAGGGCCGTGTGGAACTGGAAGTCAATCTTCATTAAAAATCGGATAAAAGGATATCCATTGACTCGGTATTAGTCTCATGGGATATGCTCTAGAATGGCTCAGCAAGGCAAAATAAGTTACATAATCTCCAGGATTGCAAATTCCCATAAAAGTCACTTGCTCTGCCCTTTTTAATTGTCGTTCTCATTAAAAAAACATATTTGACTTTAACTACATATATAAGAAAATATCAATATTTATGGTATATAGTTAGTATCATTTGATAGACTGTCTATTTTTCATAACAAATTTATTTGAAGATATAAATGTTACTATTTTTTATAAAACTAGTCAAACTTAAGAAAATATTTGACGACTAGCATGAATAACGACATTTAAAAGGGGAACGAGGGACTATAGGATAAAGGAAGTGACATCCGCGCATCAGGCTATTTTTTGGGGGTACGGATGTGCATGTTTACCAAATGAACGAAAGACATGACGTGAGCCAGTGCTGCACTGGTAAGACACTCCGGCATTCTCCTTGTGAATCGCTTTTTCCTGACACTAAAACAAAAATGTACTCCCTCTATTTTAGAAATTGACTAGGCATGTGTTCTCCAAAACTATAATTATATTTTACATGTAATTTTTTACTAAAAATGTTGGTAGCTTCAAAACTATAACCATAGAAAGTAAGACATTGAAATATGAATTTAATGCATGATATATTTTTTGTTTAATAGAGTTTATATCACAAAATACATCCATATTGAATCGAAAGTCTCCAGCGAACCGACCACGCAAATTAGCAAACATGTATTTTAAATAAAAACCAGAACAACAACAAAAATAAACCATAAATTAACAAACATGCAGATAGCTATTTTTTTTATGTATCTTGGCATGTTTGATATTGCAAATTATGGTTCAATTCAATATGGTTGAGTTAGGACTTGCCTTCACCACGGTGATTTCCCGCCGATGGTTCCTCAGGGACGTCTTGTTGCCTTTCGACTGCCTTCTTGAATACTTTTTTCCTCGAAATTTCATGAGTTAACATCCAATAAGTAAACATTGATAAAACAAATCCAAACAGAAATTTAGAAACTGATGAAATTAAGCAATTATTAGTAGTGATGTATAGACCATAGGTTTGGACAAATTTACACATGGATATATTACAAGCAGAGTTGAAGTAGAGAAGACACAGATCTGGGAAGATTTACCAAAAAAAATAAGTGCAGAAAATAAAGATGAGGATTATTTCAGAAAAAAAAGCAGATAGATTTTCGGATTTCATGGCTGGAAACAAAATAGCTATTTTTTAATTAAAAAAAAGTTAACGCAAGGATAAGGTGAGCTTACTGTCGGAATTTTCCAGTATCTCTAGAGCAACTTCAGGACAGTTGGCTTTGAGTTCCTTGTACCCTTCACTTGAGAGCACATCATCCCTTGTTCTCTCAGAAGAGTTGATAAATTGGATGCATGCACCTTTCAGCTCCCTGCAATGATGATTGTGAGCTAGGGCTATAGTGGTTGTGACACTGTCAACAGTTGGTCTCTTGGAAAGGATGTTTCCACAATACAACTTCATCCTTTTCATGTCATATTTGTCGGCAGCCGCCAATAAACTCTTAGCCATTTCCTCATTTCTGTGTTCTTTCAGCAATGAATCTGTGTAGATGAAGTGACGCAGGGCCTTGAAAACAGCGGGCTCCATGTCTTGAATAACAACTGTGCTGCTGTTATCAGGAATAGCCCTCCTGTCCCTCATTGTTTGTCCATCGAGATGAGGCTGAGTAGCAGTAGTTTTTAAGGCCGGACAACGAATGTCAAGGATGAGCTTGTGGGCACGGAACTCCTCAGATTTAACCTTGAATGTGATATCCCCATCGTCCCGATCGCGGGACAACAAATTTCCAAGATGAGATGACAAGTCTGAGGGCGGCACTTGAACAACGACGACGGGGTTGGAACTGACAGCAGTCTCCTTCAACTGTGATTCCTTTATAACAGTGACAAAGCATTGGATCTTAAGAGAATCGTTCCGAAGATACCTAGGTAGATCGCTTTTCTTCTTGAATTTGTCAGTTCCGCAGGTGGATGAAGCTTCAGCTGTTAACACAGTCGTTGACTTGATGGCGGCTTCGTCTTCAGTGAGCCTAAACTCGTACGCCAGCCTCACCTTGGTGAACTCACTCATGAGCTCCAGTTGCACTCCCACGTAATCTTTGCACTCTTCCCCGTTGCCGGTTCCGTCAGGGTAGTAGCGGATGCGCCAGTCATGGCCGCCGACAGTGAACCTGGTGGAGCAGATGTATCCTCCATCGCCGAGGTCGCTGTGCTGGCTGTAGTCGCTTATCTCCAATGTGTGTACCTCACTGTCCGTCACCGAGCTGCATATCGACGCTGATGCCCTTGGCCTCGCCTGGGATGCCATTGCTACCCAGCTTTTCTCTAGAGTTTGTTGTGGATCGGATCAGAGTACTGGCAGCGGGGTTGGGGTTGGAAGGAAGGGTGCATGAGAAACGTCTTTTATAGACAAGAGTTTCCGACATGGCTTGTCTATTATATTACTTCTCAATTTATATGTTGTTTTGCCTAAAAAACTAAAACGACCTATAATTTGAAACAGAGGGTGGTATTTATGATTGACACTAATACAAAATCAAATTTTGCTGATGCTTGTGATTTTTTTTACTGGCAGTTAATGCTGTATAGGCGCCAGTAAAAAGAAAATTGATGGCCTATGCTATGAACCGCCAGTGTAATTCACTTTTACTAGCTGATTTTTTAAGTCTACTGCATTCTAGTGGCGGTAGATTTAAGAAAACAACTAATAAAATCAGTCTACCTTCCTATTTTAAGGTACAGTCAGACTATTTACCGGCACACTCAATAAATTCTCACCTCATAAAACTAATCTCTACACCTAAAAAGACACTAACGTCATCATCTACCTGATGATACCAAATCTTGATCGTTGCTCACGTGTCCGTGACCGATAAGAATCATTCTCCAGTCAAAGCTCACGCGTCCGCGTCCTACCAAGATCCAATTCAAAAATCGGATCCACTTCCGCGTTCAATACGAAGTCCTCAAAGCACACGTCCGTGTCTGATACTGAGGTTCAGACTAAAAAATTATGACCACGGTGCAACACACGGACATATGTCTAGTTAATAGATAAAGGAAATGAGTACCACTTTCAAAGGCAGAGCTTTTAAGAGGACCGTCTCTGAAAATCATAGGCCCAGCCCATCTGCTTTTCTCTCTTATTTTTCCCACAGCCCATGTTCACCTTCATCCATGTGTCTTTCACTTCCGTCACCCACCGCCTCATATAGCTTTTCAAGGAGTTAACTAATTTTAAATTTGGCTAGATTTATATAAAAAATAGTATCAATGCTTAATTATATATCTACAAATATTTTTGTTATAAAAAATAATATGAAATTAATCTAATGATACTTATTTAATATCATAAATATCTATACTTTATAATGTATATTTGGTCAAATTTGAGATTGTGTGTAGAGGTACATATCAGATTAGGACAGGACAACGGGTCTCACCAAACCAGCCTTGACGAGGTTGTTGTGACATGTTCTGACAACTCATATGGTAGTTATGTAGAGATTGCGCAAGAAAGCCTCAAAGTTAGGGTAGACTAGCTGGTCAACCCTCACCCACAGAGTCAGCCTCATTGGTGCTATTCCAACCAGCAGCTTCAACCTCTCCTTCAAAAATACTGGCAATAAGCTTTTCTTCTCCCTCCAACCGAAAGTAAAACTTGCAAGCATGTGAAGCCAATTGATAAAACTAGTTTGGGGTGGCTTTAATGGCTTCTAATGAAGATCGGCGTGCTGTATACTAGAGCAGGTACAATAATTAGCTTATAGCCAAGCAAATGCTGATGTGGAGGAGAGAAGGAAGGAGAGAGAGAGAGAGGAGAGCTTGGCTCTCATGCAAGCAACAAGCTGGGCACGGATGCATATGCAGTAGTGGGTCCGTGCACTAAGTGAATGTGAGAAATATTAGGAAAGAGAAGATGAGGTACGGGTAAAACTAACAATAAAAAAGTTTCTTATAGACAAATAAAAGACTACTATTGTATAGCTTAGCTCTTGCAACTTGGCTAATAGCAAAATACTTAGCTCTATTATTGGCCTTGCTCTTAGAGAAACCCAAGCTATAATAAACCCGACCAATGAGGCTCTAGTGCATGCATGTATCCCTCCACAGCCAGACAAGAAAATTATTACTACGTGAGACTACTTGGATTAGTTACGTACGTACGTGTTGCTGGCCCAGGCTGGCCGTAAGCTATGTGGTCTAGAGTCTAGATCTAGATCATATGAACGCGCGTGATGATTAGACCAGTCAAACGGTTGTTGGTTAAAATTAGTCGCTAATCATGTCGGGGGACCATCCTGTCGAGGTTAATATAGCAGCTATATATTAGTAATGTGCGTGCAGTGACAATCTAGTAATACTGGCAGTACCTTCTCAACGTTACGTTCTGGTAAAGATTCTGCCGCTGATGCTCAGACTTCGGAGGACCAGACAAGCCGAGGAATTGTAGAAGCAGCGTGAGATGCGCGTACTCAACTCAAGTACAAACCGTGATCATGTGGCATGCTTTGATCTCTGCATGTTTGCTCAAGCAAGTAGCAACGAATTACAAGATGTTTTTGTGGTTAGTGATATTTGGAAGGTACAAATAAATACAGCTGTATGATTCTTTTCCAATTTTTATTTTCCAAGTGTGCCATATTAAACTGTAACCATTTGCAGACGTGATTCTCAGTTGTACTTAGGACCTGTTTGGATAAAGAGCTAATCTCTAGTGAGCTGGTGGGCTAATTTCTTTTAGATAAGTTTTCAACTAGTTTTTAGCCAACTAGCCAACTAACCTTGGCTAATTTTAGCTAATTTTTAGCCCAATTAGTAACTAGTCCTAGCTTATCCAAACAGGCCCTTAATTGGCCCGGTTTACCATTTGGTACCTCAAAGGCCCAAAATTCTTGTCTAACTACTCTGTTACTAGTAGTAGTGTAGTTATAGACTACAAGTATGTTATTAAAAACAACAACAAAATCACTCACCCGTCGAGAACGTACTCCCAGGGGCTCGTCACGCCCCGAACAGCAACATCAGAATCTATGGAGTGCCATGAGAGTCTCTTGGCGACTTCCCTCCACCCCCCACGCCGCCCCCTACACTTCTGGAGTTCGAGGCCGTGGGAGAAGAGGACCAGCAGGAGACCCAGCAGCAGGAAGTTCTAGAAGGCGAAGAACAGGCCCTGGAAGAGTTGCCTGAGTGCCCCGACCACCGATCCTCAACTTTTATGAAAGGCAAGCCCCGAAACATTCTAAGCCTTCTACGTTTTACAAATACCAATTTGAGTTCTTTATGTTTGATGCATTATGTTGTAGGAGTTGTTTGAAAACACTTGATGCATATGACCTCCTTGTCTAGAAATATATATACCTTGAATCCTGTGTAGGTCTAGGATCAAATTAATGCCTAACCATGCTTAGCTCGGTAGAAGTCAGGTGATTTCTTGTCACTTGCGAGCTATAGGTGCATTCCTAGTCACGGTTGGCTATATTTGCTATCGTGGAAAAGAACCATGTGATGATGTAATTGGAGGTCGGACGGAATCTATGTTGTTGGTTGACTCATGTGATTCCGTCTGTGACGATTAAGGACCGCATCGTTGTTGGTCCTCGGTCATTTTGAACACAGCCTTTCACTTAGCTGGCTAGATAACTTGTTCTGACCGCGAAGCCGAGTAGCTCAACTCAGGCCAGGAGTCGTTCTGTTTGAGTGCGCACACTGGAGGTAGTAAGGATATGCGGAGAGCCGGATGTGAGCCCAAGGGTAGGCTGGGCCTGAGCATCCTGGCAGCTGGTGAGTCCCTGAGGGTGCAGCGCTGATCGAACCCACGAAGTTGAGTCCTGAGTTGTACCAAAGGTGACCCGACGTGACCCCGATGGGGGAAGTGCGGGTTTGTGTTAGGATTCTGCCCAGCTGGTTGCAATCGATTCGAATCACCGTCTCTCCCGGATAGTGAGAAACTTGACTGAGCTTCCTTCTATCATAGTAAGAACAATGATAGTGAAATGGCTATGATGGTGATATAATAAATGGCTATGGTTACTATTGTTGTGCTACATACTTGTATACCACATGTTTGTCATAGGTTAGTTGCTAATCTAGAGTTGAGTTGCTATAATTAACTTGATGACCGAATTATAAAATATGTACTTCAACTAGTGGCTTTTTATGCAAAATGTTGTCAAGCTAGCTCCACTTATAAAGTCTTGCATGATCCTTGGTGTCGCTTTATTCTTGATTTATGACGGGTAAATCTAGCTGAGTACCTTCTCATACTCAGGGTTTATTTCCCACTTGTTGCAGATGGTACAATGTATCATGGGTACTGCAAGAACTGCTTCTCTCAAGCTGTGGACGAGGAGGGTGGCCGCGGGCACGACCCTTCTGTGTTGTCTTACCTATGATGCTTTTGTCGAACTTGATCATGAACTGGCATGTATTTGAAACGTGTGTGTGATGATGGTTTCAAAACTATATTGCTTCCGCTACTGCAGTTGAACTTGGTGTTGTAATATTTATATTGGAACTCCGATGTACGATGAACTATTTGTGAAGTTTATGTAACATATGACATGGATGTTGAATCATGTATGATCTTGGTTGGTAAGTTGGATGTTTCGAGGTCCTTTGTGACACTCGATGGACTACCAGGTTTATATGGGCTCAAGTATGACAGCGCGATCGCTCCGGTGGTTGATATTGTACTTGTGCTATTATAAATTGGTCGGTTCTGCTACAACTGGCATCTAAGCAAGGTTCAACATTTCTTGTCATAGGTGTAATTAAAACAAAGGTTTTTGTTTTACAAAACCAATTTTGGCAACTTATAGCTATATATATATAGGTGTTCAAATCTGAAATTTGAATCTAAAGTGTGCCAGTGATCATTTCCTTTATGCCCATATAAGAATTTTAGGTGGCTTAGTAAGTACTAACTTTGGGGGTTTGCTTTCTTGCAATTTTTATTTCGTCGTCAATAGGGCGTGCTATTGTATGGGTGCCATTCATTTGAATGGTAATGTATGGATCAATATACCTCTACGCCCAGGTAAGATGGTGAGTGGCATGGCCGCAAGATGTGAGCGTGCAGTCTAAGGGGAGAGGTAGTTGTGATACTAAAGTATATATAAGCCTCATATATATACGGAGGTATTTAATTGTGGGTTAGTTTTGATATACTGTATATGTATATTTATATGTAAGTATGGATGTATTTACATATGGGTAGCTTTGGTACGGAAGTATATATATTGGGTATATATATATGGAAGTATTTAGCTTGCAACTTAGAGACTAGATTTTCATTTCCGCATATATATAATTGTGGGGTTGGGCTGAAATGAAATTCTTCTGTATGTACACTAACAGCGAAACGTGTAGCCCGACTAGTTACACTTATATTATGAGAGAATGTATGTATATCACCATGTATATCGTTAGAACCTTAATGTTTTCCTAAGTTTGTGAGGACGTACGGAACGTGCATGCATCATGATAACTCATTCATTTACATTTTTGCATTGTTCCTCCCCTTATAAGTTTCTTATCCCATTAAATAAGTCTTTTCTAATGCAAGACTTGTTCTCACAAGAGTTGCACCATTTTTGGTATAGATGGCAGCACCAGGAGCACCAGCTAGGAACGATACGTTCCTGGGTTTGTTTGGCACCCCCGCTTTGCTTTGGAGGGTGTTGCACTTCATGGGGTACATGGAGCTGCCTCGCTACTTTTGGACACATGAGTATGTGGAGGGGCAGCCATGGTACGAGGTGCAGGTGACCATTCCTGCTCGTGCACAACCACCGCAGTGGCAGGAATGGAGAGCTGAGCCCGAGGGGAAGTCCCCTTGGAAAGGTGCATGGGTGGCAGCCTTTGAGATTTTGAACAAGATCTGTCAGCAACATGGTGATGAGCTCACGGGTAGTGCCGCTGGGACCTTTCCTCAGGTGGATCCGTCAGTTACAGCTTGGGTACAGGCTAATCGCAATGCTTTGGTACGGGGCCAGAGTTTGAGTCGTACTAAGTGCCTTGTTTGCGGTGATGCAGATGATCAATGCGAGATAGGACACTCGGTATTTCTGGCAGGAGTCTTATACCATCTGTGTGGACAAGCTTATGAGAGCTGAGGCCGCATAGCGGAAGCTGAGGAGGTGTGTACGCAAGCACATGAGGATAGCTAGGGAGGCTCTTTAGGACACGGATGATGCTCTGACAGCACTGGGGGCCATCCAGGCTCTGATGGTATAGGTAGGACAGCAGAGGGATGAGTCCAACCTTCGCGTAGCGGCATTAGAGGAAGCCAGGACCAGGACTATGGTGCTAGCTGGTCGTCAGGAGATAGAGTTTGGTCAGAGGGAGGAGTACCTGTGTCAACTTCAGCTGGCCCAAAATACCATTGCAGAACTTCAGCACGATGTCCTCCACCTCAACAATATCCTTGACCCCATTCCTCCCCCAGATGTAGAGGAGGAGGACCCAGACATCTTGATTGAGGATGATGGTTGGGAAGAGTTTGAGGTCGAGCCAGAGGAGAATGTTGAGCCCGTGGAGGACAACGATGATGATCCTATGTCCAAAATCGATAGTGACCACTTGGACGAGTAGAGTAGCAGTAGTGACTAGCTAGTTATGCTAGATGTTATCTTTTGCGATTTTAAGTAGTGGACATGTCCTAGGTCTTGATCTAGTTTAGTGCGACCTTTGATGTAACCTTGCAACCTAATATGGCTGATCAGTGATGATGTAATGACGCTGAAAAGGTCCAGTCTTACTAAACTGGCAATTTTGGGTTGTATGTGAACGTGTTACTGGTGTACCAAGTAATATAATTGGCGATGTTGTGTTGTGGAAATGAATTATTGTGCCGCTGACTTTATTGTATGAATTTATTCTCTCTAGTGAATTTAGTTTGGCATAAGTATAAAATCCTTCTACAATTATTTGGCATCATCCAATAATTGCTTATTGTTGCACTTCTGTAGATGATGCGCACCCATGGTCAGGTGTTGACTGGAAGTCAGGATGGTAACAGCAATCCACCACCACCCCCGCTGCCCACAACAACAGAGTTCTTTGCTCAGTTTCTGGGGAACTAGCGTGCTATGGAGGAAATGCTGCGTAATATTGTGTAGAATACCGCACGCAGGGGACATCAGCGTCAGGGTCCGGAACCTAACCAGTATAGCACATTCAAGGATTTCTTGGACATGAAGCCACCTATCTTCAAGGAAGTAGAGGAACCACTACAAGCTAATGAGTGGTTAAACACAATTTAGTAGAAGTTTTGCCTTCTGAGGGTCACAAATCAGATGAAAGCTGAGTATGCCTCACATTAGCTGCAGGGACCCGCAGGTATATGGTGGACCCACTACTTGTCTACCTTACCTACCAGTGCTAATGTCAGTTGGGATCAGTTCAAGACAGCCTTTAGGGGACATCACATACCCCTAGGACTTATGAGGATGAAGGCCACAGAGTTTATGAAGCTCACTCAGGGAACCAAGACCCTCACTGAATACATGCATGCTTTCAACAACTTATCGATGTATGCTCCTGAGTTTGGTAATACCGA